AAGAAACAACGAATGGAAACGGGTACGCTCATCGATTTTGATTGAGAGGTTTCTAACCGAATCTCTCCAATTTTTCGTTTTCTTCAAGCATATCGATGATTCGAGTGTATCCCAATTTGTCAATTAGCTCCGCCTTCTGCGAAAAACACCACCAACAAGAAAACTTTTTTGAAAGGACTAGTCGTCAACGACTGGGACGATTAATTGAGTTGCGATTTCGGAGAAATTCCAATCAGTGAGATATAAAAAAACAACGTTTCCACTATTGAATTAACGAAAAAACTGGCAAAAGAAAACAACTCGTCAGATAGATACAGTTGCTTGGAGGATGTTTAATTCGGAAGCACAGCCAAGGAAACACCCTCATCAGTGCAAATTGGTGAGTCGCAAGATAAATCCTCCATGGTAAAGACACTACGTTCAATTTAGGAAGTCCTTGCCAGACGACCGCCGCATCCTTGGTGATCACTATAGACTGACTGCTAAATATGGCTCACTGCCCCTTGCTTAATTTTATAGGTGCTGGTAGATGAAGCTGTACGGTTTACTATCTTGATTCAACCACAAATTGCTCCTAAACGAACTAGGCGTATATTTGCATGTTCAGTGAATGACGGTAATAATCTCCAAAATAGGGGGTGGGGTTGGGGAGCTTCCGGAGAATAGTTTACTAGTACAAAACTGGTTCTTCCTTGACACAAAACAACGCAGTCACCTTAAACGCAATCCGGTCGATGAGACCATAGTCTAGAAGTACTACGTAAAATCTAGGATACAGTAGCCTGATACTACTACCAGCACTGACGGTGTGAAAATAAGAAGGTAAGAAGTAGATGAAAGCTATCGGAAAATAAAGACTAGGAATGCGTTGTCGAAAAGGTAGAAAGAAGTTAAATGATAGTCGATATGGAGATAATCGCTCTTTCGTTTTGAAACTGTGAACTAGTTACTACGACCATAACAAATGAAAAACATTCCCACAGAAATCTTTACAGCTGCTTCAATGCGAAGTTACTGTACCTTCTTTGAACTTCGAATGATAACTGTTAGTGACTAATATTACAAAAAGAACATCACAGAGAAAACTTTCTATCCATGATGGCGCAATTTTCGTTCAACAATCACTAAACGACGACTAAACAACCTATCTGTCATTCATATGCTCGTTCGCTTTCTCAGCCGAGAAAGGACCGACCAACAAACCCGCGATTAGGTCCGTTGTTTTAAGCAAGTGCCTACAAGAGGTATACGCATAAAATCACTAACCTTATTCATAAACTAGTTATACGCTACTGTAAAATACTAGACTTCGAAGTGAATGATTTAATAAATACGACCGTCGGATGACCATCGGTTGTTGGTTAGAAAAAGAAGAAACGGATCTTCACTTATAAGCTATTGTTAGAATTCGAACATGGATATTGGAAGAAGAATCTCTTTAGCTGTACAAAGAAATGCATTTGGAAATAGCACAGAAAGGGCAAAAACAATACAGAATTGAGGGTAAATCAGTAAAAGCTGTCAAAACGACAGTTCTATGCACGCCATATCGGAATATTGGTGTGATGGTAATGATGGTGATGAAACGACGTCAGAGTTATCTAAAGCGAATATAAATCTTGTGGGAAAGAGGTTTAATCCATTCCTTCGGGCTATAAACCAATGCTATGAGAATCTATGAGGCTTAAATGTCGTTCAAGATATCCAAGGTAGAGAGAAGTTCAGACAAAAACTACTGTATATATTATGACGACACCACACACCAAACACAGGATTCGATGCAAAAAAAAAGAAAATAAGGAGAAAATATATCGTGCAACGAATCAAAATGCCCGACTTAAAAAACTGAACTGGAAAGGAAACCAGTTTCTCTACGTTACCGATTAACCGTGAATCTCTAGAAAACTGTCCACCTAATCCTGACATTCATAAAATACAGATCTGTACTCGTATGAACCTTGACTACAGCACGCTGTTCAAAAAGAACTAATTAACCGCTGAGAGTTACTTAAATGAAAAAGTTATTACATCTGAACGAGATGTGGGCACAGCAATAACACCATGTAATGAAACCATAGAATGATTTCAACATTGTAAGCCTACCTTTAAACTTCCAAAACAAAAATTTAGCTCTTAGACCTAGGCGTGACTGACAGCGTGAGTTGGGAAATAGTAAGAAAAGCGATAGCAAACAATTATTCTGCATAATAGCGTCGCAGTACTGATGCAACTTCTCGAGGGAAGATGGAAAACGTCACTGGCTATCCTAAGCCCTGAGTCGGAATTACGGGGACTAAGCGACGAGCAAAAATAGATGACTATCTCATTGACGTTTTGATAGATGTCGATCAAATGATGCTCGGCTGGCTTTCCGTGAACGACCGACGATGTTAATGGTTGTGGCGGTTCCATTAAAAATGTTACATCTTACGTTCATGAAATCCATGAAAGCTATCAAAAACTACATACATCCCTAACAAACAACTACAACTGTCATAACGTGAGCCACATGAAGACATTCACATCGAACGAAGTAGCGAAAGGGACGTTTGTTTTCTCATTTTGTTTGTCACAAACGCGGCGTTATCACTTCTTCCACTTCAGCGCAGTCAAACATCATCAATCAGATTTATCTAGTATATTCTAAAGTTTAGACAGAAGTAAAAGCACGATTTGTAAAACTAGATGATTGGTGATAAAATTAGCAAGCGTGAAAAGAGTAATCTATTACCAGATAACTGTAACAAAAATGGTTTCACAGTCAATGAAGGCTTATAAGAATCTACGGAAAAAAACCAACTCTACTCTACGTGGCTTATCCTGGAACACTCGATTTACGATAGGGTGATTGCTACTGTACCGATTATGAACAATATCAAGGAAACGTTGATTGAAAACAAAATCCAAACGTGAAAATAATTGAGAATTAAGTAGAGCAACAAATTACACCAAAAAAGGCACTAAGGGTAACCTAAACCTGAGCATAGGTTATTGGCCGTATTTCTAGAAAATTTGAAGCGAATGGTTTTACAATGGTTATTTTAAAGGCTTGACTATTGTCTATACTATCGAAACTATTGTCAAGTATAATCAGACCTCACCTACCAGTGAGGTTAATGATTTCCCAAGGGATGGAATAAGTTTGGTCCCAGGGGCATTCATCGCCTCAGCAAAGCCTCCGAAGCTGAGTAGTTCGGTATTTCCATCAGGAAATCCAGCTAATAATAAACTAATACCAGACTTCACCACTGTCATGGTATCAAACCAGTCGCATGGTAATAAATCTCTCTCTGATCCCCAAGAACGGCGACTGCCTGGAGTGGCGACGACCGGAGGCAGACTTTGGCCCGGCTAACCTCGGGACTCCACGGAACCACAATGGATAGACCAACAAAAATCCGAAAAAATGGAAATTATGCTAGAACCCGCGCAAAAAGTGATGACGGGATATCCGAGTATCCAAATATGTATATCAATGAATACGATAATGGAAATGTTTCCATTCATATACGCTTGTTCTAATTTTTTCGTCACATCACTGGATCCTTCGGCCAACATATGGCAACCAGTTCGAAAAGATAATTTTAAAAAATATTAGCCCAAAACCAACTTTAAGTGAGGTGTTCGAAAAAAAAGCACAAAACGATCAAACGGAGGCAGAGCATAATAGTGGGAAACGCTGAACACAAGAAGGCCGAGCGAGATCACGTGGATGAGACTGGGTAGGATTCTGTGACCAGAACCATGAAGGACATTAAAAAAAAACATATGTCAAGTGCAACTATTTATTTTTTATACCAATCTTATGTCAGGTTAATCATATAGAAAACTGCTAACTATTTATGATAGTCGTCCAAAGGAAACATTCAATAAAAGACCAGTTTTCCTCAGAAACAACTGCCCCAGTGTAGACTTACGGAATGCTTAACTGAGAAACAAAACGATTTCATCATCATTACTGAAGGCAGTACTTCAAGAAAAAAAAGGAGAGCTACCAAAAACTGCTTCTGTACCACAATACTGTTCAATTCAAACTCAAGACAAAATTGTAAAAGCCAAGATGTTCCTTCGCTAAACGTCATTTCTATTTGAAAAAGGTCAAACAAGATTCTGAATAGAATAAACTTAAACTAACTACCACTAACTAAGAGTCAAAAAGTATGCTAAAGATGAGGTGGAAGCATCGCAAGTTAATCTCAGTGATTCTCAGTGCTCGTTTTCGCTCGACTCTAGAAACGTTGAGAGTCGTCGTAAACCGATACTAGGGAATAAACCAACTTCGAAACTTCTCTCTGTTGCTTTCAGCTCAAAAGAACGTAAAAAGGTAACACGTAGACGAAGAGATATCACACAGTTTGGGTGGCAAGTTTAGATTAGAAATAGTTTTAGTTAGTGTTGTAGCTTTATTCGAAGAAGATATAAAGAAGGTGGTGGCCTTATGGAGAGTTCTAATCATACGGATATTGGTATGAACGCTCCAACAAACCAAAAAATGGAAAAGCAAAAAAGTGCAATTTAATGCAACGGCTTTCAAACCAGAGTGTATAAACACGTAGAACTCTATGGGGCACTGCTATCAAACATCGATTGAAGCTCGCAAACTTGATACTTGATACTTGAACGGCCCGTCCTCACTGGTTGTGCGGGCTCCAGCATAATCACCATTTTTCGGAGTTTTGCTGGTTAAGCCATTGTGGTTCCCTGGAATCCCGAGGTCAGCCTGGCCAAAGTCTGCCCCCGGTCTTCACCACCACGGGCAGTCGCAGCCCTTGCCGATCAGAGGGAGATTCGCCACCATACGATTTTGATACTAGAACGGAGGCGGATCCTGGTATTGGTATTGTAGCGCGCAAAATGGGTTTCAAATTTCATAAGTGCTTAAAACGCAATACTACGAAAACTTGGACAAGTGAATGAAAGAACTTATCGAAACAGGAATAACTGACATAATAGATCGTGATAAGTCTCGACTAGGTATTCCACATGGGAAAATTTCCTTGTTACCCTAGATGATCACAGAAGTAAACCATTTGCAAAAACAGTAAAAGAACTTGAACACAAACCAACGAATTTACCTTTGTTTGCGATCTTTTTGGAAAAGCAACCTTCGGGTCAATCTGAAAGTGACACTATTGGATACAATGAAAAATGTAGTTCGTGAATGTAAAATCATAAGAAAACAGGGACAATAATGAAGTTCACGCCTCGAAATGTTCTATAAAAACCTACTCTTAGGAAAATAGGTAGGCAAATGGTTTGTTAACTTACGAACGCACCACCTTTATGCAAAAAAAAAAGAAACAGTTTTGGGAAATAATCGATAAATACCTTCTTGCCATCTAATTCATGTTCCTCAGTAGCCAAAACCCTATCTACACTAGCTGGATCGACAAATGTGATAAACCCGAAGCCTCTGAAAAGCTAACAATTTTTGCATACATCGTGAACACATCAAATAAACTATGAATGGATGAACATGAAGAAAAATTTATAGTGACTGTTTTTACAATGTGATATAGAATGCAGACTGTTCCCCCTTAGCTGAAGATCAGCAACGAAGAAAATCTCTGACACGGCAAAGTATGCTTAGCTGCCTTTGGTCGTGTTCTATTGAAAAACAATAAAATTACCAAAACCAGGGGCAAAATACCAGTTTTTGCGCGAGTCTGTTGAGTAAGCGGAGCTCAGTTAGAAGCTGTGCTACGTAATAGAGACGGAGGGAGCAATTAAAAATACCAAATAGAGTACAGAAAACGATTCATAACAGCATACCTAGCCCGTTTAGTCGCTGGATCCCGCATAACCATACACTCGTTAACCTCTCCAAACCGTCCAAAGTAGTCACGAAGTCCCTCTGCAATCCATCACTGGTTATACCTAGTCAGTTGTTTTCTTTTTTTTTTTAACCAATGCAAGAAGGACCCCATCCGCCGTTAGCGTAATGATCAAGCTGCACAGGTTCACAGCAACGACACTCGCTAGCTACGTTAACCTCAAATTATCAAATTCTGTTTGTTTAATTTTCCTATTACGCTAAGAAGATCAACAAGCGAATATAAAAGTTCAAGGAGAGAAACCTTCCCCATCTTTCGTCAAATTTCTTGATGGTTAGAGGTCTTCCTACTCGAACTACACCTGTGTCGCTCGCCTTCCTTAATTTATCAAAAGAAAAGAATCTGTCTTCTCTTTCTAAACTTGTGTAATTCGTTCATCCTTAATTTCTACCATCCATCAACACCTACTTACTTCGCGACCAGCAACAGCTCGTGATACAACCCTTTTACAATACTTTATCGTACTCATCTTAACCTCCGATGGATGTCAGCTTTCTCGTGAGAAAACCCCAGGTCAATCACATCTGCCCACGTCCTTCGTTTCTTAATGGGTGGAGAGGTAGTATGAATGTGTAAGTGTTGTGGACACGAGCGTGTTTTCGGCAACTGATAGGAATCAGTTGAACGACGAAGACGACGACGACACCAACGACTATAAAAACCAGCCCTCCTACCACTGGCAACGTGATAAAACCTCCTAGTGCCGTCTTCAGTCACTGTTCAAGCTTCACATGAAAAAAAAAACCATTCATATTTCACTAATAAAAAGAAATCTAACCTTCAAAAAATCGACGGCCAACTATGGCACTTCAGTGCTGGCTATTCTAAGCAAAAAAAAGACATAAGCAACTTTCAAAGCACATTATACATGCGCCCATGATGAATCTGAAGCTATATAATTCACCATTTCGACGCTGATCACTTGACCGTATATCCTCCAATCTACCATTCTTCATAAAAATAACAACGATTCGATTTCCCCTTTCTGAAATAATTTCTGTCTAAAACCATCGAACAATTCTTAAAACGACCAGATTGTTCCTTTTATTGGGAAACATAGATGACGGATGCATTTAGTGATGCACTAAACTGCACAAGGAAAGTGCTCATGAGTTAACAGAGAACAAAATCGTTTGATAAGAACGATCTAATTGCAATTTCCACCTCTCCAAGCCCTTACGTAGCTAGCCTCCAGTGAACACATCTCATTCAGTTCGATACATACCACTCGACCGGACACCAGGGCTGGTATATCGTTCGTCAAATATGGTAGCGTCTACAGGATTTAGTTTATTGGTAGAACATTAACCTAAACTATTTGACTATGAAACTAATGAAAATTACCAGTACTTCGTACAGCTACGTATAGAACAGCTTCGTATAGAACATATAGCTAACGATTAAGTGAAGACTCTTACTATCCACGCGCGATGTCTGTGAAACACAAGCGGCGATGGTCGTGTAGTAGTAGATGGTAATGCTGGCTGCGGCAGCAGATGCATATCACTCGGTAACTATCATCGTATTCTCGCCAACGAAAAACAACCTCCGCTTTTCCCCTTTCCACTCAGTCAACCAAAACAACAATAGTGCCACAGAAGTAGCAGCCGCAGCTCTCACACTCACCAGCCGTTGTTTGCCAGCTCAAACCGCCGATGAACATTTTTCTGAAAGTAAAATGTATTAGAGTATTGTACGTAACCCGTAAAGCTCTCGCTTGCAAGTGCAATTTTCAACAAATGCACCTCAAATGCCAAAAATTAACATTCTCAATTGTAGGGACAATTATAACATAATGGTAGCGTCTACAGGATAAAGCCCCAGAACCACAGCTACGGCGGGCTACGGAGTTGGAAACGACACATATACACAGAACCTCTACATCTACAAACCCTAGCAAAAAATATGTGCTAGTTCAGAATAAAGTTAGTATTCAACTGTTGCACGATTCTTGGGTAGTTGTTTTGATTTCCTGGATGGGCTGATTTTTTGCGTAAATGCATTGCTGTCGTTCAACTGCTCACCCAGGATCCTGCGCCTGTGATCCGTCGTCGGAGTCGGCGTTGTTCACCCGGGCTTCGTCGTGCTTGTTCGGATCACCTGCTGTATTGCCACCTCCTCCTACATTTCCACCATCCGCAACACCACTACTAGTCGTTGAGTTGTTCATGGTAGCCGTCGATGCCGAGCCGCTACCGCCGCCACCGGTCGCCGTGTGATGATGATCGTCCATAAAGCCACAACACTACACCTCTAAAACGAAACGAATTTCAGTAAATATGGTGGAAACATGCGAAAGCCCTCCACACATAATTGATATTACAACCACAAGGTTGCTAAGATATTTGCAAAACTCAGACCTCATGCCAAATTCGAAGCCGCAATTATCCTTCATAGGGTGAAGAGGATATATAACCTTTCCTTACCGTCCATCCCCTAAAATCCCTGATCGCGGCTTTGAATCTGGTCTGGGGTCCGAGTTTTGCAAATATCTCAGCACAATTGTGGTTATACTTCACATAATACCCTGCCATGAAAAAAAATGAACAGTAATTAAAAAATACATTCTAACTGATGATAATTGACAGTCACAACTGCAACACAGAAGAACAAACAAGACTTCAGAAAGTTCAGAGTCTTGAAAACATTTCAAATACTCAATAATTCACTGTTTTCTTGAAGACAAAACACGAGGCCGTTAACACGAGGTGTTCGCTCAAAAAGAAAATGGTTGATCGATGCCGAAGTTAAAAGAAAGTCGGTCCTGGGATTTCAAATACTTATCAAGTACATGTAGAAGTTACCGCTCAATTCATTTTGACTTCCACACTATTCTACTACAAAAACGTTTTGCTTTCCAACACGATTTAGTACGCCCACATAAAGCAATTATATAGTTGCATTTAATGGGGGAAAGAGAAAAACCACTAAGAAACCTGGGACAGATTGGTTACACACCTGTTTCCGGCAATCGATCATCACAGGATGATATTTCCACTGTTTAATTCCATACAAATTGAATCATATGCCTGATAAACCCAGTTAAGAAACTACCATAAAGTTATGCAATGAGACAGAACGACGACTGCACCAACTGTTCAGAGATGAAATAGATAGCTACTAAACAACTAAAGGTAACTGCTTAAACTTGCGCCCGAACAACTATGACAACACCAAAGAGCATATTATGAAAAGCGTCAATATACTCGCTCACAACTTCCAGTTCACCACTAAACTCCGTCACTACTACTTCAACACTCACCTCATACATCAACTACACGTGTGGTGCTCCAGAAAGCACTACTAAAAATTATCATTCCAGCGTTTAGAATGATGGAAATAAAACAATTATAACAATAATAACAATGAGAAGGACCCTGTGCGCTGTCCATATAAGATTTCGACAAAACCATGATGAAGTTTCTCTAATAGTACAACGACAAAAAGGAACGTCAATATCATAACCGAAGTGAGCTTTTGTTTCGTTCACGATTCTTCAATTGATTCCTTTTGTTCATTAGTGCTTCTCCTTTAAATTTTCATCACTTGCTAACCTGTCAACCTTGCAGCCTGGACTATGCCGCTATTAGTTAAGTCGTCACTCGCTCGTCAAAAATTTCCCAGTGAGCAACCCTCAACGGATATGAACAGTACATTAGATGTCTCGTAAAAATCTATTACTATTTTATCCGAGAATGACCGCCAATCATTCACTGCATATCAAAGAAAGTTCAGTGCATGGCGCAACTCCAAGGCATTGATCAATGCCGAAAGTTTTGTCTTCTATCCTTTACCCTACTTTTCAAGAAGCAAAACCACTTAGAGTGCAGAGGTTAGAGGTGCCTTGCAATACAATTACAGGATCAATGGTTAGTTTGATCGCACTACCCTGGTTCATCAAGGTCCGGGGTTGGCAAATGGATACCAGAATTGTTTGGGTGGATAAAAACACTGACTTGAAATGTCAGTAGGCCACCGCAAGTTGTTTAGGTCAAACATGCATTTAACCATCTCTTCGATGCTTGGGAAAGTCGAGTGCATTGTGCATCGCCTAGGGATTGATCAGGGAACCGTTGAACCTCTATCGCCTTATCGTTTTTTTTCTCCAATCTATCTTTGCGCAAAACGTTACAGGCGTATCGACAGCTTCCCGTCGTCTCTAGGCTGCCGTTTGATCCTTACTTTTCTTACCACGTTTTGACTGCAAAGATAAAATAGAAAACAACAGACTGCAAAAAAAGCAAGCGCTTAGAGCATCAATTATAGCAACCAATTAAAATTAACCACTGTTAACATCGCTGCAAAAAACTCAACCACCCGATAGAGCATGTTCCATTTACGATTCAACGGTCCAAAGGCTGGAAACAACAACTTCTTGATGAGAAGAAAACAAACAATTAAGGTCGTTGCAGTCCTGTCTATTCCTAACGTTCAACTTCGAAACCTGCTTCCGACGCTAAAACGATAAAACGGGCTGGTTACAATATGTAAACGATGCCACGTAAATATTCATGCGAATCCAGAGCGATCCAACTGGCCCCATAAACAAAGGAGTGAAATGGCAATAACACATAGGCTAAGCTATTTCATCACACACGAGGCAGATCTTTCAGAGGAGTAGATAACTCATGCTAGCAAATACAACAATGGTGTTTTTCAGAAGGCGCCAGATTTGTCTAGTAGGATAGCGACGCCGACTTAATAGATCCGTAAACGTCCATAAATCATTGCACTGACCAAATATACCATTCGGTTGTCTCAGTGATGCTTAATGGGTTTGAATGAACAACGGTGAATCTTCAAGATTGGAAAACGACGCCGAATGATTTAATCTTGATTTTACACAATGGTAAGCTAGGCCTGTGGAAAGAAGAATATTAATCTTAGCAAATGAACCCAGAATTGATTCGTCAATTAACGCTATTTTTACCGCAGTAAAATGAACGACGAAGTAACCAAAAGTGATTCATTTTAGAATGACCCCATGAGCGAGGGTTAAGATGAAAATCTGGCATACAAACACTGTAATCAATCACCAACCCGACCGACAACTCATGCGTATGAAGGAAAGTATTATCTACACAGAAAATTTCATTCAAGGTCGAGTTCGACGACGACGATTACGAAAGCCAAAATGCAACACAGACAAATCCATTTCGTCTTCCATGAAACAGCTTATGTGAATTATAAAATTCATATGCCAGAAAAGAATAAACAAACAGTAATGGAGATCTAACTGAAAATCCTTCCGGAATGAAAGTGAACGAAAACTGAACGAAGGCAAAATGATCTCGATTTCTTCATTATAGAACTTCCTTACGGATTTTGTACAATAATTGGCGATGTTCGCATAAGCAACTTGGAAGACGTTCAACATTTCTAAAGTACAAATAAGACTCATAAATCTAAATGAGAGTTGACTGATGGATGAAGAATTAGCCTGGACTGATGAAGACCGGAATAGAAATCGGTAAATATAATTCGAATGAGTCGAATCGAAAGACGGCCAGCAAAACATTAACTTACAAGTCGTAGACACCAATCGCTAACCACTGCCGTAAACAAAAATAAACAGCGTTTGTTCGAGAACACTCCACGACCCTATACAAAATCCCAGTAGCTGGTCGATGGTACTTCCTAGTTTTATGAAATTAATAGGTAAACTTCCTAGAATTTCTTCAATCAATACTTCTACCCTACTCGTGACTGAAGAACTTTCATTAGAATTAAGCAGTATTCGAGAAAGAAAAAATGAATAAAAGCCAATGATGAGAAATTTATGAGAAATTCAAACAAATTTGTGACGAGAAAACATTTACCTCCATCGGAACTCTTCTCCAACTACTGATTCTTAAAAGAAAGAACAGCGAAATTACATATTTTTCGGGACTCACGTGTGTAATCGGGATTGACATCTAACGAAGCAAAACAAAACCAACTGACTCAACAGAGCCTCGTTTTTCGTATACTCACACTCTTAGCCTCCAAAGCTAAAAGGTGATTTAAAATGACCTGTACATGGAAGTACTGTGCAGTACGAAAAAAATACCTGTACCTGAACATTCAGCCGCACTACCACCTTTACTTCTGAGCATTCTAGATATTGATATATAACAGTGAATCAGACGATTACACTAACCCCTGCCTAAGAAAGTACCACTCAGTTGAAACCGGTTTTGAAAAACAGATCCATTCCACCGTCATCTTGACGAAATAAAGAGAACGTCGCGACGGCAATTGCTGTCACGGAAGAAAAACGTTCCTTCCAAACCAATGACTGAAAAGCTTCACAACGCTTTTGACTGCTACAAATTCACAAGCTCTGAAGAAGCTGAAATCCGTCGAAACGTCAGCATTTTCGCCAGCAAAGACTAGAATAACAATCTCGGGTTTACACATCGAGAATACGGTGAATATTTTATTTAACCTAATCATAAAATATTCTTAACCAACCCTATACTGCCTATGAAAAAGTTTTACTAACATTGTTTCTTACAATGAAAGCTAAAGAACGAAGAAGGGAAGAACCTTTTCAAATATATCACTTCTATGAATACCAGTTGAGAAATCTATAAAGGAAGGTTTAGTGGCATCCGGTCTCACTGGACACAACCAAGCATAATAGCAAACCATCTAGTTTCATTCTAACGCACTAACGAGCTCGATGTGTTTCGAATCCTGGCTCTCGAATCCAACAATTTTTAAACAACGCTTATTTCTTGTTCAGAACAAAAAATTCTAAAGGAATAAAATCCAAAGAAAGCTGTTCACTTTGTAAATAAACATTTATGTATCAAGTTCTGTCTACTGAGGTTATGAATGTGTTTGATTGAGTAGAATGCCCCCAAGCCCGACTTAACCTCGGTATTGATTGAATAATTCTTTCTACTTCTGTTCAGCAAACACAAGGTGCTATTTTATTTCTTTATTTACGTACAAGCTGACGTTTCGGGGATTTCGCCTTCCTCAGAGCCTGGAAAGGTTAAGTTGACAGCAACCTATTCGGCCAAACACCTCCATAACCAAACAGGGAAAACGCTAAACCAAGATTTCAATCACATTTAACATAGCTCTGCACACTCACCGCTTTCTATGAGTCTACCACTGAGTATGTCGCGTGAAGACCAACCGCACAGAATTCACATGGAAGCGTAATGGGCCTCTCCTATCAGAATAACAGGTTTATACATGGGTAGAATGCGTGTCAATTTGACTCTTCCAGGCACTGAAGAG